TAATTACTTTCCATCTATTTTTTTTTTTTTAGAGCTGTCCTTGTCTTTACATGAGTTTTCCCGCTCTCGCCTGCAGGTGGCAGCAGTTTCCTTGCACGATCTACACACACAGAAACGGGAGGAGAGAATTCCTTTTTAATTACTTTTTTCCAGCTGGGGATGAATGGGAGGGAAGGGGGGGGGGGTTAAGGACGAGAGTTTGCCTCTATCCACTGGCTACAGAATCCGTCTGCAGGAAATACACTTGCTTTTTCTTACTAAGGGGAAGCTGGGCCTGATCCGATGACTTTCAGGAGGAAGGAAACCGGCACAGGGGCCTGTGTCAGTGCTTAAGGGAAGATGCTTGTCAGCCAAGCAATCGCACAGAACGTGGGCAGAAGAGCTGTGGCACATGCCCTGTGTACAAGAGAGCACAGGTTCAATCTGTGGCTTTTTTACTTTTTTTTTTAAAAAAGGGATCTCAAATAGGGTTGCCAGCAGTGATCCCTCTAAGCTGAGTTAGTGTGAGCTGGCTCACAGTTTTTTAGCCTCTGGCTCACACATTTTTGTCTCAGCTCAGGAAGGAGGGCTCCAGAGCAAACTCATGTATGCAGTAGCCAAATTGCTGGCTCACAACTTTCATGCCAGTAGCTTACAAAGTAGAATTTTTGCTCACAAGACCCCACAATTTAGAGGGGACATTGGTTGCCAGCAACCCGGAGATGAGATGTGCTGCCCCTTTAACAGGTGACATCTAACCAGGTGGTGCAATTTACCTCTCTGCTATGAAAAGCTGGAGCTGCCCATTTCCACATAGTGAGCCACATATCAGCCAGATAATGGGCTTCTCTTTCAGTCGCTTTCTACGCCAGATAAGGGTTACCAACAGCCTTCAATTGGGGGCTGTTGGTAACCCTTATCTGGCGTAGAAAGCGACTGAAAGAGAAGCCCATTCTCTGGCTGATTCTGCACCCATTTGTTTCCTCGCAGTTTTTCCACAGCCACATTGGGAGGTTAACCCCCCTCTACACCGAATGCTGCTCTCACTTTCTTTGTTCATTAGGTTTTATGGTACCTTCTGCATAAATTTATGGCCGTTAGGGCTGCCAAGCCGCAGCGGGGGATCCGTGCGTCTTCACAGGATCCCTGCCGCGGGGGACAGCGATACGCGTTGCACCGCCGTCGCCAGGATGTGACGCTACGCGTCGCTCCATTGCCAGAGCGACGTGTAGCGTCACATCCTGGCGACGGCGGTGCAACGCGTATCGCTGTCCCCCGCGGCAGGGATCCTGTGAAGATGCACGGATCCCCCGCCGTGGCTTGGCAGCCCTAATGGCCATTCAGGGGTAACTTTGCAGTCAGTACAGCCTTGCCCCCCGGGGGAATCTGAATGTGGTTTTGAGCGACACCTTTTCTTTCCTCCATTTCCAATTCAAAGAGAACAATAAGCAGACAACCTGACATGGCTTCACTGATCTCCCTCAGTTCCCCTGAGGGGGGCTCTGTATTTATCACCTCGCCATGAATTACTTGGCTCAGGCAGCTAATGGCCACTGAGGCAAGTAGTGACACAGGAAAATCTGCATACCAATGCAGGAGTGAGTGTTGGAAACAAAAGATGGCAAGCAGAAACCAGGATCCGAGGCAATGCAATGAAAACAAATATTCCGCGGCAAGGGAGAACCAGGTCGAGTGCTGGTAAAATGTGGCGCGAATGCCAGATGCAGAATGGACCTCTGTCTGAGGCGGCCCACAGAGCTGACTTACTAAGCTAAGTGGGCCGCTCAACTTGGTGATTTCATGTACTCATTGTAGAAAACAGCAGGTGGGTTGTCTGCAATAGAAGAGCACGATTCAACTCCCGCGGCACCTTCAAGACCAACAAGGTTTCCAGGACAGAAGCTTTCGAGAGTCAATTTATTTATTTATTTCCTTCATTTATACTCCACCTTTCCTCCTGGGGGGACCTAAAGCAGCTGACATTGCTCTCTTTGTTATAGCCTCACGAAAACCCTCCGAGGCAAGATAGGCTGGCCCAAGGTCACCCAGTGAGTTTCCAAGGCAGGGTAAGAGTTCGAACCCAGGTCTCCCGGTTCCTAGTCTGATGCCACACTGTCTCTCATGTCTCTGGTGGAGGGGAGCTTTGTCTTTGGAAAGCTTCTACCCTGGGAAACCTTGTTGCTCCTTGTAAAAAGTGTCTGCAGGTAGCGGGCAAAAGAAGTGCTACATTTGGGAGTGTCTCTAATCCATGTTTAGATTTGCAATCTTTGCTTGTGTTAAACCCCAACGTCAAATAGCTACGGTTTGCAAAAAGATTATATGCATATCTTTCTTTTTAATGAGGAAAAATAATGTTGACACAGGGTGCTGGAGGAAAGGAGCTCTCTGATGAATATTCAGCCCCTGGTCTCTCGCGGTGTGATCCTAAACTGAGTTACACCCTCCTCAGCCCGTTGACTTCAATTGCCTTCCATCTGCTTAGGGTTGCATTGTCCCAGAGTCTTAAACAGACTTGGGCACCAATGGCTCCCTCTAAGCTGCGGAGTCTTGTGAGCAAAAATTCCACTTGGTGAGCGACTGGCATTAAAGTTGCGAGCGAGCGATTTGGCTGCTGCAAAAAGTAGTCTGCTCTGGAGCCATCCCTTCCTGAGCTAAGACAAAAATGTGTGAGCCAGAGGCTAAAAAAAGCTGTGAGCTAGCTCACACTAACTCAGCTGAGAGGGAACACAGGACGGCGCACAGACTGACATCCAGTTCTTATGCCGTAATTTCATCCTGATCCTAACGATGCGGCAACAAAAAGGAACCTACGCCCAGGTTAACACGCTCCTCTCAGCGACAGCTAGCTGTTCCATCTTATTCCATTTATCCATCCCCTTTTCACACCACCATGCTGGCTTGCTAATATTAACACAGCAATGCATCTTACTGTTTCCTCCTGAGAAGGCTTAAGATACACTCAGCTGTCAGCCTCCTTCTGCTGCTGTCCACCGTCGCTGCCATGGCAGTGCTCATCAATCTCTGTGCAGGGCACCGTGACACTGACCCAGCATTTCAGGAAGAAGCTGCCTTCCTGTGATTTATAGCAGGAGTTTCAGGGAGGAGGAGAGACTTTCTAGGATCTCTCCTAACCTTATCGCTCCCTCCGCCCTGCCAGCACAAGGCAAGAAGGCTGTTTTGGCATAGAATCAGAGGAGTTTAGCCACTTTTATGGCCTGGGACCTACATACCTGAGGGACCACCTTTCCCCACACGTACCCCAGAGAGCACTGTGATCAGGGGCCCACAATTGGCTGGCCCTCCCAAGTCTCAAGAAGCCAAGCTGGCAACAACCAGGGGCAGGGCTTTCTCGATGGTGGCTCCATCCTGGTGGACTGAGCTCCCAGAAGAGATCCAGCTACAAGCATAGGTAAAGGTAAAGGTTCCCTTGCTCGAAAGCCAGTCGAGTCTGACTCTAGGGTTGCGGTGCTCATCTCCGTTTCAAAGCCAAAGAGCCAGCGCTGTCCGAAGACGTTTTCCATAGTCGTGGCCGGCATGACTAAACACCAAGGCGCACGGAACGCTGTTACCTTCCCACCGAAGTGGTACCTATTTATCTACTTGCAATTTCTTGCTTTCGAACTGCTAGGTTGGCAGGAGCTGGAACTAGAGATGGGAGCTCACTCCATCATGCGGCACCCGGGTCTCAAACTGCTTAACTACTGACCTTCCACAGCCTGCAGTTCAGCGTCTTAACCACTTGAGCCACCGCAGCTTCTCGGCTACAAGCATGGACGGCTTCAAAAGGGAATTAGATAAGCATATGGAGCAGAGGTCCATCGGTGGCTATTAGCCACAAGGTATAGATAGGGGCTCTGGGGCAAGTGATGCTCTGTCTTCTTGGTGCTTGGGGAGGGGGGTCAACAGTGGGAGGGCTGCTAATGTCCTGGCCCCACTGGTGGACCTCCTGATGACACCTGGTATTTCTGGCCACTGTGTGACACAGAGTGTTGGACTGGATGGGCCTTTGGCCTGATCCAACATTGGCATCTCTTATGTTCTTATCAGAGCCCTTTTGTTCTTATCAGGACCTTTTATCAGAGCCTCTTATGTTCTTATCAAAACGGAACTCTTCCACCAGGCCTTTGGAGCTGCCGCCACTACTAACAACTGGCAGCCTAAGGTTGGAGAGCCCTGTTTCCCCTGGGACTTCTAACTACAGCCTGAGCCGGCAGCCTGAGACAAAACGAAAAGATCAAGGAGCCAACGGCGAGAAGATAGAACTGAGCAACAACCGCTGTGAAATCACAGATACTAGCATTTGATTATGTCTTATGGTTTAAATGGTTTTAGAATTGTTCATTGTTTAATTGCTGCTGCTTCACCTGTATTTCATGTCCAGCCTGAGCCGGCAGCCTGAGACAAAACGAAAAGATCAAGGAGCCAACGGCGAGAAGATAGAACTGAGCAACAACCGCTGTGAAATCACAGATACTAGCATTTGATTATGTCTTATGGTTTAAATGGTTTTAGAATTGTTCATTGTTTAATTGCTGCTGCTTCACCTGTATTTCATGTTTATTGTAAATTCTGTGTTGATTTTATGTCAGCCACCCTGAGCTGGTCTGGCTGGGAGGACGGGGGTGCAAATTTAATAAATCAAATCAATGTTAGTCTGTTGCTGCAAAAGAGTAAAAAGCCCAGGAGCACCTTTAAGGCTAACAAACTTATTTGGAGCATAAGCTTTCGAGAAACACAGCTCTCTTCGTCAGATGCATGGAGGGTATGAAGAAACTGGGCAGAGATATATAGGTGGTCCGTGCTTGTAGCCGCCACCACTTCCTGTGGCAGTGAATTCCATGTGTCACACCTGACTTATTGTGACCCCTCCAAGGGTTTTCAAGGCAAGACACAAACAGACGTGGTTTGCCATTGCCTGTCTGTGGGTAGCAGTCCTGATCTTCCTGCCAGGCTTCCCACCACAGCTGGCACCCTCCTCTTTTCTTTGCCAGTACTGTTACTGGCAAAGGGCGCCTTTCCCGGGCAAGCTCCAGCTCCTCTGCCAGTTTCTCCTCCCGCCAGGCGCCCCGCGACCCCGGCGGCATCTCGCTCAGATCCCACATCGCGCCCGGCCTTTCAGCGCCCCCCCTCGTCCACCGCCTCCTCCTCCCTGGCGTCCATTCTCCTTTCAGCCGCTCGCGAGAGGTACGTTCTAATCCCCAGCTGCAAGCTGCACCTGACTCCAGAGGAGACCCCTCTCGGCTATATGCTTGGAAACCCCCCCCACACACGCGCATGCACACACACACCAGAGGGTGTCACTCAGTGGGATCCTGAGGCCCTGTCTGGTGGCGGGCCGCTTTGCTCCCCCTTAGCTGGTGCAGGCCAGTGGCCCGAAGAAGACCCAGGGTGCGACCCGGAGGCTGCAGTGAGGAGGAGCTGTGGCCTGGTGAGACTCAGCGGACAGTGAGCCTGGATCATCCCCACCTTCGGAGACTGCTTGAACAGAGAGAGACCCTGTCTAGCTCCGCACCTGAGCAGACCCTGCCTGGCTTTCCAAAGGCCCGGCTCTGCTGTGGCGTCCCTGCAGGTTCTTCTGGGCGGGACTCAAGAGGGTGTCAGAACCCACAGCCAACAACGGAGTACACACTTCTTTAGAAAGGTTATACTTTTATTGAAGAGTCATAGATGCATTAACACAGTCACTGTTAAGAATAGCAGTTGCCTCTTGAACCTAATGAGATATAGGGTATTCGTATGCCCCCCCCCCCCTCCGCTGGCCAATTAGGCACCCTCCCGGAAGAGATTGGATTTATACCCCGCCCTTCACTCGGAGTCTCAGAGCGACTTACAATCTCCTTTCCCTTCCCCTCCCCACAACAGACATCCGGTGAGGTGGGTGGGGCTGAGAGAGGTCTTTCCAGAACTGTCCTTGAGAGAACAGCTCTGACAAAACTATGGCTTGCCCAAGGTCATCCAGCAGCTGCAAGTGGAGGATTGGGGAATCAAACCCAGTTCTCCCAGATTAGAGTCCGCACACTTAACCACTACACCAAACTGGCTCTTACTTGGAATGAAGACCTCCAAGGAATACCAGGGCCGGGACACAGAGGCAGGCAATTAAGCCACCTCTCTGAAAAACATCCTAGCCCCACTAGGAGTCACCAGAAGTCACCATGACTTCCAGGCTCGCAAGCAAATACAAACACACAAAAAAAATACCCACCAAAAAAAGAGAGAAAACCCTACGGGGTCACCATAAGTCTGGTGTGACTTGACAGCACTTTCTACCACCAAACACCACACAGAATTGAACAGAATTTGTTAAGATTGATTGAAGTTAGAGGTTTTAAACTGGTTAGGACACATATTGTTTGAGATACGCTGGTCTTCTCCAAAGGCACCCACATTTTGGGCAGGAACGCACAGGAACAGAGTTCCGGCTGGCTCCTGAGTTGGCCACGCCCAGCAGGAACACATTAGCATAATAGGCCACACCCAACAGCAGAAACTCATTAGGATTGGCTGCATTAGGGGTGTGTGGCCTAACATGCAAAGAAGTTCCTGCTACAAAAAAAGCCCTGGGTTTTGACAACAAACAAGGTAAACAGAATAAGAAGCAAAAGGTGGGTGTGGCTGGATGACCACACTTCTGGCAACATGGGGTGTGGCCTAATATGCTAATGAGCTGTGCTGTCATGGGTGTGGCCTAATATGCGAATGAGTTCCTGCTGTTGTGTATGGCCGATTATGCTAATAAGTTCCTGCTGGACATTTTCTACACAAAAAGCCCTGGGAATGCCTCCTCCTGATCTCTGATATCTAGTTATTCTTTCCTTCCTTTTCTTATGAATTAGCTTCCAGGTGTCTCTCTTTCACTTCTTCCTTTGACGCTGTTGGTCTCCAAGGTGATCCTGAACGTCACGTCTGGTGGATTTTCACTGTTTTCTATTCTTATTGATTAGTCATTGTGTAACCACTTCGTATGACTTGGCTGTTACTTTCTGTCGCACCATTCCTTTCGTCCATATTTTCTGCTTCATCCTGAGTGTCTGGATTGTTGGCGAAGCAACAGCCTGCTAAGAGCCTAATTACTGTAAATACTGCTGAAAGAGTAGTTTAGTCCACTTGTACTCTAGGGGGCGCTGTGGAGCATTCTCAAGTGTTTACGGTTTACGGAATGTTCTTCTCTTGCAGTTCAGCCTTTCTCTTGCGGTTCGTTTTTCTTGGCTGTATGTTAGTCTGTGTTAGTGCTGGTGCTCTGAAGGCCTCTCTGTTGCATTAATGGCCCTGCAGCCAGTTATTGTCTTTCTGCAAAATCCTGTTGCAGTAGATTCATTGAAAGCGAACTCCAAAGCGAGGATTGGATTATTTCCTGAATTCTGCCAACAGGGATACTAACAGAAGTGCCTGGAGTTAGTGGACGGTCCTTGGTGGACCTTTTTGTACAGAGATGCTTGTGTTCTCTGACTGTTGACCAATTTTGTTATTTTCCTCCTGCCGGCTGCAGGATTTTGGTCCGTGTCCCAGCAATGTTTGTGTTTTGGTCAGGCAACCTCGTTGATGGGGCATTCTTGAATGCCAGGATGACTAACCAGGGATCAGAGTCTGATAAAATTGCATTGTGACGCTGTTTTTTAGCTGTTGTCATTGGGGATGTGTATGAGTTAATACAGCAGAGTCAGAGAAGCATGGTATTGCTTACAGTAAATAAACTCCAAGGAAGTATATTGCAAAAAGATAAAACTTACATTTTTAAAGCAAATTCAACTCAAATCCATGTTGCAGTCAAAAAGAAAGAAGTCTAATCTAAAGAATACGATACCCTATCACAAATGGCCAGTGACTCCGGCATCATGTTTGTGCAAGTGAGAGGATATAGCTTTTGCTGGAGAAAACTGTAGACGCGTCTTGCTCCTTGAAGAGCCATGAGAAGAGAGAGAGAAAGAGACAAAGGGCACAGGAATAGAGGAGGAGTCAGCTGACGCCGGGCAAGGTGGGGGCGGGGCCACAGCCATCTGAGGGGGAAACTCTCGGGACGCCGGCCGGGAGCCCCCTGCCGCCAAGAAAAACGCACTTGGCAACCCTACTCCGGCATCATGTTTGTGCAAGTAAGAGGATATAGCTTTTGCCGGAGAAAACTGTAGACGTGTCTTGCTCCTTGAAGAGCCATGAGGAGAGAGAGAGAGAGAGAGAGAGAGAGAGAAAGGGCACAGGAATAGAGGAGGAGTCAGAGAGAAGTTCCCAGGTTCAGACAAAGAGAGAGAAGAACAGAAGAGATTGGATTTATACTCTATCCTTCACTACGCAAAGGAGTCTCAGAACGGCTTACAATCTCCTTTCCCTTCCCCTCCCCTCCCCTCCCCTCCCCACAACAGACACCCTGGGAGGTAGGTGGGGCTGAGAGTGTTCTGACAGAAACTGCTCTTTTTTTTCAAGAATAGCTGTGCCAGAACTATGGCTTGCCCAGGGTCATCCAGCCGATGCAAGTGGAGGAGTGGGGAATCAAACCCAGTTCTTCCAGATTAGAGTCCACACGCTTAACTACTACACCAAACTGGCTCTCAGAGAGGCATCCCATTCATTAAAGACATAACACATATACATATCTAGAGCTATGTAGCGCCTGCCATTGCTGAGTTGCCCTACTCCAACAGTTTTCACAGTGTCTTCCACCTTCCAGTAACAGTACCGACAGAGTTGAGAACTGATCAAACACCCAGTTATTTTTGCGAACAACTTACAGTGTTCAGAGGTTAACGGAGGCCCGTTATCTGTAACTACAGAGTCAGGGGTGAGGAATCTCTCAAACTGAAGTTTCAAGTCTACTAATGGTTCCCTTACTCTTTGTGTCCGATGCAGCACCAACCTCCCAGAAACTGAAATTATCATCAACTGTGTCCAGTTACAGCTTTTTCCCTGAGGAAAAATAAGCATCATTTCCCCCACGATCTGATGAGAAACTCATGTGGCAAAAGAGTCTCCATCAGTTGCTGATTCAAACATCATAGAATCATAGAGTTGGAAGAGACCTCCAGGGTCATCTAGTCCAACCCCCCGTACAATGCAGGAAACTCACAAATACCTCATAAGAACATAAGAGACGCAAATGATGGATCAGGCCAAAGGCCCATCCGGTCCAACACTCTGTATCACACAGTGGCCAGAAATACCAGTGCCATCAGGAGGTCCACCAGTGGGGCCAGGACATTAGGAGCCCTCCCACTGTTGACCCCCCCCCAGCACCAAGATGACAATCACTTATGCAGACGGAGAGTGATTTCAGCTAAGCATACCTTTATTTAGTTCAGGAAAAAGACAACTGACCGGCTCGCAGGCCGGTTTATATATGTTCAGAAAACCCGCCACCAAGCACACCTAAACACACCCCCTACTCCCGATAGGCTATTTACAGTAACCGGGCGACCATTGGTCCCCCGGCTGGGAAGCTAGCCCTTTTGATTGGGCCGGCTAGGATCCTCCGGATCCTTTGTCTTTCGACTGAAGCTAACATAGGAAGTGTGCCTGGCCAGCCCGGGCAAGTCCGGGCATGTCAGGCTGAATACATTACAAGTTTCCAGTCCCATTGCTAGAGCGTTGCCCAGCTACATGCCTACGTCACGTCTGGGCGACGGAATAGTGCAGCACCTGGGTTTTCCCCGCGGGAATGGTCTCGCGAAGAACTATACATCCCCCGCCGAATTAAGGTAAGTACTTGGGAGCCCTGGTGGTAGAGTATCTGCTTGGCATGCAGAAGGTCCCAGGTTCAATCCCCAGCATTTCCAGTTAAAAGAGTCAGGTAGTAGGTGATGTGAAAGACCTCAGCCTGAAGCCCTGGAGAGCCGGGGCCAGTCTGAGGAGACACCACTGACCTTGATGGACCAATGGTCTGATGCAGTATAAGGCAGTTTCATGAGCTCATGGTGTCACACCTTCTTATCAGAGACCACAAAGTTATGAATTTATTCCTGGCCAGTAAACTTCCCTAGCTCTCCTGAGTCAGCTGTAGATGCCAGGTGTGATACATTAGTGTTGTGCGCAATTTCTTTAAGCAAAGAAAGAGGGATTGCTTGCTGCTCTTAAAAATACTGTCCCCACCCTACACAAAGAGTTCATCACTAAC